AGTTGTTTGAGGATATCAATAAATCTCCTAAATTGCTCATCCAACTTGTGTCTCATGAATTTTTAGGGATAAGGGAGCTTGGGTTTCACAATCTCTTTCTCTACTCTCACCTCTCTTGGTGTCTCAACCACAACCTCATCTAAAGATGCTCTACTTCCCTCATTCTCAACCAAAACTTCCTTTGGGACCTCCTTGTTATCACTCCTCCTTGGCAATCTTTCCTCAAGAACCTTACCACTCCTTGTAACAATAGCATTCACGGGTTTCTTGGGATCTAGGCCTTGGGAAGGTAAAGAAGAAGGGCTTTCTTGGTCTTTCAAATCACTAGCAAGTTAAGAAATTTGGTTTTCGAGCATTTTATTGTGGGTCATCATTTCATTGAACTTCTTGTCACTAACGGCCATATATGTGTTCAACAACTTGGTTTGATTTTCAATTATTTCCTCCAAATTGGTCCTAGAAGAAGAAGATTGTGAATAGGAATTTTCACCTTGAGTCTTTGGAACAAATCCGGGTGGGAGACCTCTTTGAGAATTATTTTGAAAATTTCCCCTACCTTGATTGTTCTAATTACCTCTATTTTAATTTTGACCATAACCTTGATTATCGTTTCCACTACCTTGGTTATGATTTCCATAACTTTGGTTTTGATTACCATAATTTTGGTTTTGATTTTGACTACTATAACCTTGATTGTTATAGTTGCCACGAGAACTTTGGTTCCCTTGGTTCCTATAACCACCACCTTGGTTATAGTTGTCAAAATTACCTTGGTTTTGGTAATTCCTATTCCATTGACCTCTTTGATTATCAAACCTTTGCACATTATTATTTGACACATAATTCACATGCTCACTCTCACTATTATAAAAATCATCACCACATTCCGGAGAAGCATGAGGGCAATTACAAGAGTCATGATCATAAGATCCACATGCATCACAAAACAAGAAACCACTACGCATATTATTTGAAGAGGAAGGGGGTTGAGAGTTAGAAAAGGTACCTCTCCCCTTAAATTGGGAGGGAGAATTCGAAGCTTGAGAAGAAAAGGGACCTTCCAACTTGGCCTTGATTGCGGTCATTTCTTTCCCCAAGTTTGTCATTTGTGAGGATAAGTTGTTGATCGCATTTAGATGGTCTATAGAGTACACCGAAGAGCCACTCTTACTAGCTGAATCCCTCTCACCATCTCGCCAATCTCTATAGTACTTAACCACGTCCTCTATAATGTCCACCACTTCCTCTTCCGTTCGATTCATTATGGGACCTCCGGCACCCCCATCAAGGCGTGATTTGCCTTGAGGACTTAGGCCACCATAGAAAATTTGAATGACTTGATAAGTTGGAATTCCGTGGTGGGGACATTCCCTTTGATACTCTTTATACCTCTCCCATGCTTCGTAGAGGCTTTCATTAGGTCTTTGCTTGAACCCTTGAATCAAAGCTCTAGCCTCCGCCGTTTTCTTTTGTGGGTAGAATCGGGACAAGAATTCCTTGGTGAGTTCGTCCCATGTTCGAAGGGAATTTGGCTTTACCTCCTTATCCAACCACTCCAAGGCTCGGCCTATGAGAGAAAATGGAAACAACTTTAGCCGGATGAATTCTTGAGAAACCCCGTTCACTTTGATAGTGTTGCAATACTTTTCGAAGTCCTTGAGATGGTTCAACGGAATCTCATTCTTAGCTCCGCTATATTGTCTCCTTTCGATCAAAGCGATCATAGCCGGCCTAATTTCGAAGTCATTCGTTGGTGTTGTAGGTGGAGCAATTCCACTCTCAAACTTGTACGCACCGGGAATTCCCAATTCTTTCAAAGCAACTCTTGGTTGATCTCCCATGCCTAGTTCCTCTTCAAATCCTTCTTCGCTTGAAGAACTAAATTCAAAGGATCGACTAGCAATTCTTCTCCTTGAAAGAGTCCTTTCGATTTTCGGGTCAAAAGGCACAATGGATCGATCACGAGCTCTATGCATGCAAAACTTCAATGAAAATATTAGTAGCACGGCTACAAATGTAGCCTTAAGAAAATCTTTTTTTATTTATTTTTTTTTCAATTAAAATGAAATAGACTCAACAACTAAAGCTAAGCACCAATTTCACTCCCCGACAACGGCGCCATTTTGATAGAGGAATAAACTAGTCGTTAATTGCCTATCCCAAAATCAAACACTATTTATAAAATCCTAAATCAACCTAAAACAAGTATAGGTAAGTATAGGATCGAACCCAAAAGAGTTAGTTGGTGTTCTTTTTAGCCTAAATCAAGCTATTTCGGAGATTGAAGTGAGAAAATGGTTGGTGTTATGATAGCAAAATTAGACTAATCAAGTAATTCAATAAGCTAAATGCTAGGGATATTGGTTCCACATGCTAATTCAATAATCGTGCTAATCGACAATTTCTTCGTTTGATTCAAGCATTGCAAAGGACAAACAATAGTAGCAATCAAGAGAATTCAAGAGCTATATCCTAGAGGCCAAACTAGGGGTCACTATGAATGGCTAATCAAGGAAATTCACAATCAAACTCGATCAATTAAATCAATTCTCAAATTGATGGGTCATGTCATTAAGAAATGCAATGCAATCTAGATTAATCTTATAGGTTGATCATTCCTAATCTAATTAATCACATGCAAAACTATGTCAACCAATTTAATTGCAACAATTCAATTAATCAAAGATCATCAACTAGCACAAATTATCAATCAAGCATGCTTCCCCTTCTCCCTAGCAACTAATCTACTCACTAATCATGGTGTAATTCAAGAACAAATCACTAGAATTAGCATTGATCATCATTCTAAATCAAAATCAAGAGAAAGCAATATCAACTACAATATCCAATTCAAATCCAAACAATACAAATAATCAAAGATGAAACTAAATCAATCAAGTAAGAGATGAACTAGAAGAAGAAAATCTTACTAACATTAATGATAGAAAATGAAGAAATCCAAGAACGATTGATCCAATGTTGAAATACAAATCCAATACCAAGAACTTTTCTCTAACTTCTCTCTCTAAAATTAAGCTAATGAAAATTATCTAAAAGTTATCTTCAAAAAGGAATTACAAGTGTATTTAAAGGCAAAGAAGAAAAACGGGATTCCCGCGCCCTCTCCAATAAACCCCGCGTCCGCGGAAAAATGGGTACGGAACCCATTGAAAACTCCGCGGGCTTTCTGGGCAACACCCGCGCCCGCGGCAAAAGCACCTGCGCCCGCGGCAAAAGCGCGGCGAGTCCCCTGCTCCCAAAGGGTGATCAGAGCGCCGCAGTCTCTCTGGTACGAGCGGGCTCTCCAAACTACCCGCGCCCGCGGCAAGACCGCGACCAGACCGCGGAGAGTTCCTGGTCGAAATCTGCCAATTTGGTGCATAAGATCCCGCGCCCGCGGTAGACTGGCAGGGCTTGATGACCTCTCCATGCCCTCTCTGAGCCCTCTCCGAGTCGATTATTTCCTCCTTGCTTAGTCAATATAGCCCATCTTGATTCCCTTGTAAAGACAAATCCTATTTACCTACAAAAAAATAACAACGAAAAGGAATAAAAGGCAAAAAGAACCAAATAAAAGGAAAATACGAAGAAAACACGAAAAACACAAGGAAAGAAAAAAAGAAAGGAATTAAAGGAAAAAGGACTAAAAATAAGATAAGAAATCATAAAAAGGAAGATGAAATCATCCTAAAATATTACCCTATGGGTGCCATAAATGACACTCATCAGTAGTGTGAACACAAATATTTATTTTCTTAAAATAGAAATGGTGCAATATTTGTGATATTTCCTTAAAATGTAAGTGGTGCAATATTTAAAAAACGGAAAAAATATTAATGTTATATATCTCTTCTCTCATGGACCCCAACCAAACCCACTACTACTTTTTAAATATATTTTTCCTATCACATTCGTTATTTTTTAACAAACTTTTATCCCAACTATTTTTCTTTTATAATATTTCCGTTACAGGTTATGCGCAACGATTAGACATTTTTGTTCTCTGGTTTATGTCAAATTGTTACACATAATCTATAACGGAGGTAGTACATAGTTTTATTAATACTCCAATACTTTATGGGGAAAATTAGCACTTAATTTACCAAATAATCCTTAGAAATTAATTTACTAAAATATATTATGATCTCTCTCTCAATGGAATACCAAGCCCCACCGCCACAACCGCTAGTACTGGCCGATTTAATTGCTAGATCCAACAAAAAGCCAAAACAAAAAATAACACATATAAACTCTGATCAAAATCATGAATGTGACCAGATGATGGATGAAGATGCGGAGGTTAATCATCTAAAAGGGTCAATCCAATTGGGTGTCCTTTCTAACCCTCCACAATCCAGAACCTTTGAGGGGACGAACGCGAAATCCTTCGGAGATCTTCTAAGGGATACACAGCTATCCAATCAGGCTGGTAATGGACCTCACCAATTCGAGGTCGATGATGAGGATGACGTCTCAGATGATGATGTGGCGCCGGAGGAGATTGAGGACAGTGATAGGTGCCCTGTTATTCTTCTCACAAAAGAGAAGAAAAGACAAATGAGGTAACCATGGAAAAACACCCTTATAATCAGGATGTATGATGGTAGTCTAGGCTATATGGGTCTGATGAAAAGACTAAAAAAAAGTGGCAATTGAAGGGTGAAATGTCACTCACAGACATTGGTAGTAAGTACTTCATTGCTAGATTCACTAATCAGGAAGACTACAATCATGTCCTCACTCAAGGGCCGTGGCTAATTGATGATAAGTACTTAACTATTCGAAAGTGGACTCCCAACTTCATCCCTGAAGAGGCATCAATCAACCAAATCTTAATGCTAATAATATTCTTACTAATCCAACGACCCAAAAAGATATTGCAGCAGGAAAAGAAAATTTCACCCCCAAAGCCATAAATATCAGCTCAGAACAAGAAAAAAAAAGTACACCAAAAGAGAGTTGTGAGGCGAGTTGTGAAGAAATAAAAGAAGCTCAAACTAATGGAGCAATTTCACCAAGATGTCATACCCCTCAAAATTCCACTGGAAAAGACAATCTTTGTAGGACAAACTATGGAGATGCCTTATATGATCACAACAGACCCCCTGATACACATACTGGAAATTCGAATGGAGACCTGGATAGAACCGAGCCCGGAACCTCCAGAATTGGTGATGTATCTATCACCCCCTCCTGAAGTAAGTCGTCTTCTCAGACTTATTAGAGATGCATATGTTAGTTCCCTCTCTTATACACCTGTTTTAATGGATGACACAATACCGAATTTAGCTCCTCATCTTCTACCTATCTCTTGCATGGTTTGGAATGTCCAAGGTGCGGGAAGTAGAGAATTCGTAGCTGCGTTTAAAAAACTAATCCGTATACATAAACCCAATGTCATAGCTTTGGTAGAAACTCATATGGGTGGACATCAAGCGGAGAAATTTGCTAACACCATTAACTATAGTGGTCACATTAGAACGGATGCCCAAGGCTTTAGTGGGGGCATTTGGATTTTCTGGAAACCGGAATTTGTCACGGTGGAACCAATTTTAAAGCATGAGCAACATATTACAATGAATATTAAACGAGTAGGTGGTGAACCGTGGTACTTTTCTGCCATATATGCTAGTCCCGATCCTACAAAGAGACAAACCTTGTGGAAAGAATTAAAGGATTTTGCTGAAATTCATGACAAACCTTGGTTAATGGCGGGAGACTTCAATGACACAAGGTTCACTTGGTAAAGGAGCTCAAGCTGTCCAGAAACATCTAGGCGTTCCACCCGTTTTAATGAATGGGTTGAGGACATAGGACTTCTTGAGATTGAATTTAGTGGTGCCTCTCATACTTGGTCTAGAGGCAAATCTGTTGAGACTGGGAGGAGTGCAAGGCTAGACAGAGCATTATGCAATGGGGAATGGAGTCTTAGATTTCCGAATGCATCAACAAAGCACCTCCCTGCAATTCAGTCGGACCATTGCCCTATTATCATCTCTCCAAACGGGTCGCACCTTTGTCACAAATTAACAAGCCCTTTTGTTTCCAAGCGGCCTGGATTACTCATGAAAATTTCATAGATTTTCTTGAAAAAAAATGGAGTAAGGAAGCTCCTCTCATAGCGCAATTGAACACTTTGGCTAATGATTTGCAGGAATGGAACCAATCCACTTTCCACAATATTTTTAAAAAGAAAAGAAACTTAATAGCTAGAATAGCAGGTGTTCAAAGGGCTCTAGCATTACAAAAGGCTCGTGATTTAATCAAGCTTGAATCAAAACTCAGAAAAGAGCTCGATATAGTCCTAGAGCAGGAAGAATTACTTTGGTATCAAAAATACCGAGTTGAGTGGATTCGTGATGGGGATCGCAACACAACATTTTTCCACTTGGGTACAATTGCTAGGCGTTGGAGAAATAAAATCTCAGCTATTAAATCTATTCAATCTGGTGAGTGGCTGCACAGTAAGGAGGACGTTCAAGCAGAAGTAGTTAATTTTTTCGAGACTTTATTCCATGCTGAAGAACCGCAACAACATGAGGAGCTTCCCTTTGGAATTTTCCCTGAGTTTTCAAACAGAGATTGGCAGCACCTTTCTCGACCTTTTACCAGATGTGAAGTGGATAATGTGATTAATAACTTGGGCGCAATGAAGGCCCCGGGACCAGATGGATATCAAGATATTTTTTATCAAAAAAATTGGGCATTGGTAGCAGATAATGTGTATGAGTTGGTGTTAGACGTGCTTGCGGGGAAGAGAATGCCAGAGAAATTAAATGACACCTTCCTGGTATTGATCCCCAAGGTTGATAACCCGGAATTAGCGTCACTGTTCCGACCTATAAGTCTATGTAATGTTGCCTATAAAATTGTTACTAAGGCTATTGTTAATCGCATCAAACCTATGATGCCCCATCTTACGAGTTGCAACCAAACAAGCTTTGTTCCCGGAAGGCAAATTACCGATAACATTGTAATTGTGCAGGAAGTGATCCATACTATGCGCAATAAAAAAGGAAAATCAGGTTTCATGGCTATCAAAATAGACTTTGAAAAAGCCTATGATCTGTTAAGATGGGATTTTATTCGTGACACTTTACTGGAAATTCATTTTCCTAAGCTGTTAACTGACATCATTATAGATTGCATCACCTCCTCTAATATGAGAGTACTATGGAATGGAGAACCAACTCATCCTTTTAAACCAAGTCGGGGTGTTCGTCAAGGAAATCCCTTATCGCCATATATATTTGTTCTTTGTATGGAACGATTGAATCATATCATAGAGGAATCGATTATTGGTAATCTATGGAAACCGATCAGAGCTAGTAAGGATGGTCCTAGTCTCTCAAACCTGTGTTTTGCGGATGACATAATCCTATTCGCAGAAGCTACACACGATCAGGCTATTATAATTAAAAAACTGCTTGAACAGATTTTGTGCAGCATCAGGGCAAAAGGTGAGTTACCCCAAATCTCGAGTCTATTTCTCAAATAATCTAGACTCGGACATTAAATGAGATGTTAGTGCTGCCCTGGGAATTGAGACCACGGAAGACCTTGGAACCTACCTTGGTATGCCTACTCTAACGAATAGGATTAAAAAACAGACCTTTGGGTACCTTTGTGAGAAGGTGGATCGACGTCTAGCAGGATGGAAATCAAAATTTTTATCCCTTGCTGGGCGTATAACTCTTGCCAAGAGCACCTTAAACACTATGGCTAATTATGCAATGCAAACTGCTAGAACACCGCGTTCCATATGTGATGATCTAGATAAGAGAACAAGAAGCTTCCTTTGGGGAGGGGATGAAGAAAAGCGCCGCATTCATTTAATTTCCTGGGAGTCTCTCCAAAAAAGCAGAGAAAACGGAGGTCTTGGTCTTCGATCAACAAGACAAGCAAACATGGCCTTCCTTGCCAAGCTTGGATGGAGAGTTCTCACTGAACCCAATGCTCTTTGGTCCCGGGTTTTAAGAAGTAAATACTGCAAAGGACGATGCGATATCGACATGTTTGAATTAAAAGCAAACATGTCCAATGTGTGGAAGGGAATTACCGAATCTGCTAATATCTTGTGTGAAGGAACTAGAGTGGTTGTGAACGATGGAGCTACCACCTTATTCTGGGATCATAGATGGGCCTCGGCTCACACTTTAAGAGAAAAGGCTATTCTCCCTATTCCCCTTGATATTGAAGGAGCAACGGTGGGAGAAATGTGGGATGAGGAACATGGGTGGAAATGGAACTTATTTGCAGACTTACTTCCTCATGATATAATTAGAGAAGTTGAATCCCATGAGCTGCACAAGGATGCAAACAGAGGTGACCTTCTGTTCTGGGGTCAGAGGAACAAAGGTAAATTCTCTATTAAAAGTGCTCTCCAGATTATTAGGAAAGAAGAAAATGAAAATAATGATGGGATGTGGGATCTGATCTGGAAACTACGAGTTCAGCAAAGAATGCGTGTTTTCTTGAGGTTGGTAATGCACAATAGAATAATGTGCAATACTAATCGCTTCAAACGTTCCCTTACTGATGATCCATGCTGTAAATTATGCCCTAGAATGGATGAAACTGCTCTTCACATCTTGAGAGACTGTAAAGCGGCAAAAGAGGTATAGAGGCAAGTAGGTGGTCCAGCGAATGCAGTGGACTTTCGAGCTGGTAATTTACAGCAATGGGTGGTAAGAAACATTAAAGTTCAACACCGCAATGGCATGTCTCCAGAAATATGGCCTACCTACTTTGCAATAGTGGTGTGGTGGCTCTGGAGGTGGAGAAATGCTGTAGCATTTGACAGAACGAGTGAGATGCCAATAGATGCGAAAAGCTTCTTGTTGGATAGATTTGAAGAAGTTTGGAGGGTGCTAGGGGATGATTCTGTCCATGATGCCCAACTGCCAAGAGCAAGAAGAGAAGCTTATATTAAATGGATGGCCCCTCCTGCTGGGCATACTGCCCTTAACTCAGATGGATCAGCTAAAGGTTCACCAGGTGATGCGGGGTGGAGGAGGGCTGTTAAGGGATTGCACAGGCAGACTAAATTGTGCTTATTCTATCAATTTGGGAAGATGCTCCTCCTTCAAAGTAGAGGTACTGGCGGCAAAATATGGGATCGAGTTGGCCAAAAGATGTGATATTACTAGGCTGCAAGTGCAGATTGATAATCAAGCTTTAGCAAGGATTCTGTCAGAAGCTGAAGACTATGGTGGAGAATGTATTCATGAGATAAACCAATGCAAGAAGATGCTGGCAGATTCTTCATGGCAAACCGAAGTTAAGCATATTTACAGAGAAGCAAATTGCGCAGCTGATTGGTTAGCTAATCAAGGAGTTATTCAAAACAACAAGATAGAGTTGATTCAAATCCCCCTTTTACTCTTAGGTCGTAGTTTACATAATGATGTTGTAGGAGTGGTAATGCCACGCTTTATCCCCCCTAGTTTTTGTTATTTTGTTTTCCGGGGCTTAGCCTCTCTTTTGCATCAAAAAACAAAAACAAAAAAAAAAAAAAAAATACTCCAATACTTTGACTATATACAATATACACCACTTATGCAACGGCACAAAACTAGCTATAGGGCGTGTTTGGCGTTAGCTTTTAGGTAGCTTTAAGTGGTTTGACTTGGTCAAACCACTACTCAACAAAAAATGTGAGTGTTTGGCAAAGTAGTGGTTATTTTAGTGATGGAGGTAGCTTTTGTGAAAAGTTAGAAATATTAATTTTTGAAATTAGAGGTAGCTTTTCAAATACCTGTTGAAAATTTAATCTATAGTTTTAAAAATAAAATATTGATTTTTATATGTAACAGCTAGTCAACGACTACTTTACCGAACACTCATATCTAAATTATTTATCTTCACAGCTAACAGCTTGTTGACAGCTAACAGCTACCTACACAGCTAACAGCTATCTCCACAGCTACAACTACCTTCACAGCTATATTTTGCCGAACACACCCATAGTCAGAAGACTCAGAACTCGATAGCTATTAAAGGCCCAAAACAAATTCCACAATCCAAACACCTCAGCTCCAAACCCCCCAAACCCCCCAAGCATTCAAAATTCAGAGCAATTGCAAGACGACTTCAACAAACTTAACCTCCACCACACCCACTCAAACTCAACCATGGCCGCCAACCCTCTCCGGCGAGCCTCCTTCCCCGAACTCCCTTCACCGACCACCGTCAAACCCCCAACCACCCCCACCGCCCTTACCCCGTCAGAATTCCACCACACCATCGCCAAACTCGCCGTCGCACAAATCCTCCGATCAACCGGCTTCAAACACTCCAAATCCTCCGCTCTCAACACCCTTGCTCGCATCACCACCCTCTTCCTCCAATCACTCGCTACTCACGCCGCCAACCACGCCGCCTTCTCCTGCAACCGTACTCAATGCAACATCTTCGACCTCATTCACGCCATTGAACACCTCTCTCTCTCCTTCGGCTTCCCTGGTGCTTCCGGTATTAACCAACCCCTTCTTGGGTCTAAAACCCTTAATCACCTCCGTTACTTTATCGACGCCATTGATGAAAACCCCCCTTTTCGTCGTAGAATCCCTCGCCGAGGAATTAGCTCTGATTCATCAGTGTTTTTTTCTGGGAATGTTGATTTTTCAAAGGGGAAATGTAGAGGTCCTGAGATTCCGAGATGGTTGCCGGAGTTTCCGGTGGTTGAAAGCGTTGATGATGGTGGGGTGAATAGTGGGAATAAGGAGGTTTTGTGGGAAGATAGAAGGTTTGAGTTTCGTCCATTAATGGCGGCGAAGGTTGGGAAGAGTAATAAGGAGTTTGTGTTGCAGGGTAGGAGAGAGAGAGTTAAATTCAGGTTGGGAGGAAAGAGGAGGAATGTGAAAGTAGGTGGTTTGGATGATTTGGAGTTGCGAAATGGGGTTTGTAGAGGAGGTAAAAGGGTGTGTTTGATCAAAAGGGTTGGTAATAATTGTAGGATTTTCGATGATGAAGACGATGATGATGAAAAGGGTTTCAATATTGGATTGTGAACTTAATTCTTTCTATTAATTTTGGGTGATTTGTGAAGATGGATGGTTGAATTCAATTAAGTTTTCGGAGTGGATCGAAATCGATGCCAGTAACTATGTATGTTGCTAATTTTTTGGTATGATTTAAGTATGTTTAGTTGGGTTCTATCTGCAAAGCAATTTATTGAGTGTATATACATATATAAATATATATGATTATAATAGTGTGAGATGGTTATATATCAATGGGGATTGGGTTTATTTGTTACCCTTTAATAAAATTATACCGATTTTGCTGCTTAATGAGAATTATTTTGCTATTGCTGTTCCTATTCTGCAATTTGTTTTCTTGTTTTTAACTTATTGTTATTTTCCATGTATGAAGTTTGCTTGATGCATTTGCAGTATGGTGTTAGTATACTCTTTAGGAAAATGATAAACATAGGGCTATGTATAAGAAGCTAAATAAGGAAATATTAACAATAAATTAACATTAATTACACCGATTTTGCGCGTGATTTTGTCATGAATTTTCAACTTAATTCCATTTTAGGAAGTATATTTAATGCTTATATATAGCCCTTAAGGGCTACATATGTCGTTACCCTACTCTTTATTATGCCTAGTTTAGATTTTAGAATATAAGAAAAATATGGAATGAATGTTTCAGCTGTTTATTGTGGTGTTAATAATAAGTTGACAGCAGGAACTTAGAAAATCATTGTTCGTGTTGCATAGAATAGAGCTTATTTATGTATGTTAGTTGGGAAATTGGATACAATTACAAGCAAGTTTTCCTTTGAACGACATTTTTATTGTATATAGCTTGATCACCGCTATGGTGATTCGATGCTGGCCTTGTTGCATTGCTATCTTCTGTTTGTGTACAATTGTTGTGAATATGCTATGGAGTATATAAAAGCTTGGCATTGTGATTTTACTAAACAAGGATCATCTCCAGATTGTAGAGATAGAAGTTGAGCATTTCGATTATGATTTTCTGGTGGATGATATTGAGAAGTTCAAGGGGCAATATTATGCTTTAAATCATTCTGTGAAATATTACTTCATCAATAGTGTTGAGGGCTGAATGATATTGAATGAAGGGGTAAGACCTATTGCTTTGTTCAGATGATGCTGATAACAACTACAAGGTGTGAGTTAAACATGATGAGGATCTGTACTTGTTTGTTAGGGGTTTGTACCTATAGGAGAGTTTATAATTTGATAGATATTTACCATGACCAAGATTTGCGCTTATTTGTTAATACTGATCATCTTCCTGGATATGTTTGAAGGAGCACCTAGGCACCTGGACAATGGTGTGTTGTTTATGGATGATAACTATTGTCTGTGAATATCATCTAACCAACACTTGTCTGCATTCCCCCTTTGTGGCTATTGTCAGATCATTCCCCTTTTGTGGCTATTGTCAGATTTGTGCCCCTCAATGCGGTCAAATCTCTGTATCTAACACATTAATGTTGTAATCTTAATTATTGGAATTAGGATGGCATGTAGGATGATTTGCTTAACTGCTAGTTAGTTTCATCATTTGATAGTGTAGGATGTTATCTCTTGATTACTTCATGCCGGATTTACAATAGATTGTGTCAAAAAAAATATACATAGCCTGAAAGGCTTTAAATTAAGTAATCAGGAACAATAATGTAGTGTAATTTATCAACTTGGGATCAAACAAAATGTTTACATTGTGAGTGTGACCATGAATCCTTTTTTAGCTTGTATACGTTCTTTTGGCTTACATGCTATCAGCATCTTGTTCTAATTCAAGCCTTCAATAGCTAAAATAGTTTTACAGCTTTTGAATCAAAATGCAGAGTCTTTCGGTCCAGCCAGTCTGACTATCTGAGTGGCTTGAGTTGGGTTTTTGAGGGCGAAGAATTGGATTTATGTGGTTTATTTGGTCCAGAATACAGCTGAAAGGAACAAAGTTCTCTAATTTTTCACAACATGAGGATATTCCAGGTTATAGATTCAGAATGTAGCTAAAAGGTGTGGGATTCCTCTGTTATATATATGGTTCAAATTCATACTCCTGAATCTTGGTTAGAAGAATATAGTGCCTGGAATGGTTTTACCCAGTTTTCTCCTAGTTCTTGAATTTTATGTGCTCATCTGTTTGACTTTCGCAGAGGAGTTTGCTTTTTGTTTTTTGGTTCCCCTTCACTTAATATTTGGGAATTGATTTGCTTTAGTTTATAGTAACTAGTTTTGTGCCCGTGCGATGCCCGGGTTGTTTATTAAATTTTAAAGAGTACCTGACCTCTTGCCATTGATACCAAATTAGTTAGGAATTGACGTATTTTTGTAACGATTTAAACTTGTAGACATGTAATGATTAATAATAATAATAATATTGGTGAAAAACATTTCTTGATCCTGTCTGAAATGACTCATGACCCGACCTGATTAACAGGTCTACACACAGTAATAAAATTATATTAGATTGTAAAGTATATTATTTTAATTGATTAGAATATATTATAAACCATGGATGTGGTACATTTTGAACTAATTCCTTCGCTCCAAAAAATAAATTTGTATGATAATTTATGAGAGTTATAATCTAATTATTTTTTTGAATAAAATTATAATTCAATTCGTACATATGAAATATTGGTACTTTATCAAAAATAAAACTCTAAATTAACAATTTTATCTTAAAATTATATCCAAAGTTTTTTTGAAATAAAATTCTAAACTAACTTTTTTATTCTACAAATTGAATTCTATATAACTCTATCTTACGTGGCACGACACTTGGCAAAAAGTTAGAACGCCAAGTGTCGCTGTCTCGTCACTTGGCTAAAAGTTTAGCTTTATATATTAGTTATATGATATGATATGATAGCAGAATTATGATAAATTTATTCTGGATGTATATTCTTCTTATCAAGCATATTTAAAAGGCATTGCTATTCTGGTGGCCGTCATGCTTTATCTTTTGAGAGCTTTTTAGGAAACTAGTATAGTGCTTTTTATCTTCTCATGCAGTTTCCTGAAAGCAATGCTTTAAAGAAATATGTTTGAGGAACATGTTTTCTGTAACTCAATAGCACATATCCCTAGTTTGAAGTGGAGTCGCTTTCACTTATTAAGGTACATCCATGGTTCCTCAGTGTTCACTCTTTTAGCTGCAGTTCTTTCTCTTGTAGAATCAGTAACAAGTAGGGTACCTAGTTCAGCTTCAGTGTTATGGGATAACTACTCTTTACTAGAGTAATTCAATGGGGTGATCTGAACTCCAATTCTATTCCAGTTTTGCAAAAATTATGGGATATACAGTACGGATTAGTTTATTTATGAGATAGATAAGCTCCATGTATTCAGTACGGATCAGCAACTCTTTATACCTATTCGCTTGATTTAAAGGTATGTGAATATGTGATACATGTAGCTCATCAATCTCATAAATAAACTAATCCGTACTGTATATGTGTTTGCATCAGTATGATTTTTCCTCTTCCTAATGGAGAAACTTCTTCCTTTCCTCATTTCCGTTGGCTTGTTTAAAGCTTTGTATTGCAGATTTACTTTTAAAGGGAGCTTCAGTGCCACAAGAATGTTTGTATCAGAATTCGATCAGTTTCAGCTCTGATTGTCCCTGGTACTTTTGCTTAAATTGCTTTATTCTTCATAAGTATTAGGTTCAATATCTATGTATCTTGCATTGTTATATTGTAACGAGTTTCTAATTGTCACACGTCTATTCTAGATTTTGTAAGACCAACCAAGTAGCATGACTCTCCTTGTATTAATGGCATCCGTCTATCCTTTTTTTGGATGATAAAAAAGATTACATTAGTCGGCTCTCTTCTTGAAGGAAATACCTTATGCAATACTATTATTATTAGTTGGGAGGAGAGGAGAGGAGAGGAGCTATTACAGTGATCATATACAGGTGCCCTCCTGTTTGTGGGATCCTGGTGAGAGGAGACAATTCCAGCTGACGTCGGTAGTTGTTGGAGTATTTGTTGTTGAAGAATGAGAAGAGACGGTGGTGGTTAATGGAACACTCTTTGTGGGTGAGATACTTTGAGAGTGAGGGGGAAGAGTTAGGGATCCCCACCTTCAAAGTGTTTTTTAGTGGGAGAACCTCAACTTTAAGGTTGAAATGTACAACCCTTATCATTAGACCAAGTTTAACTTGGTAAGTAGAAAATGCCATCATTTTGTTCTTTCAGGATACTCCCAAATGAGTAATAAGTTTAACCTTTTAGTTTTAATAAGAGCATATCAACCAATAAAATCTACGGTTGTATCCTAAATTTGACTCTTTAAGGCCCAAAAGACTTAAATTCCAAGAATATTTAACAAGTACTCTCTATACACAAAATCCTCTAGGGTTGGCCCAATTGAGTAAAAATAGATCAAAAACACCTATTCCAATCAACAAGAGTTAAGAAACCGAAAACCACAATTAAGGGCTTGTTCACATTTACTGAACTGAATTGAACTAAACTAAACTGATTGGAGCTGAATTGAACTGAACTGATTGGAGCTGGACTGAACTAAAATGAATATTTTATGAGAGAGTGAAATTAGGAGCTGTAGTGAACTAAAATTATGTAAATGTGAACAGGCCCTAAGAAGGAAAATGTTGCATAAAATGGCTCTGAAGAGAACAAGTAAGCTCACAAAATGCTAAGAAATGAGGTGAAATATACTTTGTAAAATAGACGCATCCATCGCTCAAGCATTATGTGTAAACTAGAACCAAACTCATCTTGTAACGTTGAGTTCACGAGTTCAATCCCTACCAACTACACTTGCTTGGGAGTAGGGGATTCCCGTACTTACCTCCTCTACTTTCAAGAGTTGGCCTGCAGAGCTGGACTGGCTTAACTTGTTAGGTGCCAGTTTGATATAACCCTTCATCTTACCATAAAAATAAAAATAAAAATTTTGTGTAGACTAGGGCTGGACATTGCTGCAACACCTTAAGAAATTCATGGTTATGCTTATGTATTTATTTTAATTGAGCATATAAAGATTTTTATTTTTGTAATGAAGAGATTAGATTATCAGGCTTTGAATTGAAGATTTGAAGGATATAGTAGTAAAGCCTATTGACTTGTTTGTCTTATGGAGCATTAACTTAGGAAATGATTTCCTCAATAATATTTTTTCTAAACAGTTTATAAATTTATTGGATAATTCTTTGTCAAAATTTTTGTTTTTGTCATCACTGTTTTGAGAGGTACATCTTACAATGCCAAACTGCTATTGTGTGATTTGGATTAGGTCATATTTGGGTGCACAATGCACAGTTGCGTTTGTTTACCTTGTTGATTGATCCAACCAATATACAGTAGTACTTAATTTTTCTCCACTACTGTCAATTGAAGATAAATCTACGGAGAGCAAACTTCAATCAATATTATTCTTGAGAAAAATTAAGTCAGTTGAATACATACATAGTGTTTCGGGTGAAAACAATGGGACCTTGCCGAAGGTCCTTCTGCAGTGGCTGAAGACTGGGCTCGGTCCAAGTGGTGATGGGCCGAGGGTTTCCTGCACAGCAAACACACGTAAACTGGCCTCGGGGGTTGTGTTGGGGAAAGTCCCTCCGTTGCCGAAGTCAAACAGTGTTTAGAGAGAGAAAGCTATGCAAGAGAATTTAATGCTTGAGGCTATTAGTGAATGATAAATGGTGCAATTGAAGGCTTTTATACCTTAGCATAATGAGGAGAAATGGGCCGTTGACTTGACTTTGACTTGGCATGATTGGAGACTTGAACCTTGACCTTGGGCTTTGATTGAATCATTTATGGATCAGACCCAATTAGGCTTAATTGGACCCAAACACGTAGTATTATAGAGAATTAGAGATTATGCAGTGTTTAGCTTTTTTATGGTATTACACGCAATTTTTTTATGTTCCAATTGTTGAAGTTTGTTATAATAATGATGCATTATGCTATAGTATTTCATATGTTTCATCATTTTTTTTTTTTTTTAAATGATGAAATAGATGAAATGATATAGCATAATGCATCTTGCTTTGAAGTGAATAAAAAAATCAATATAATACTACGTACTATCTTTGTTTTTTTAGTTGACATGTTTTGACTTTATCACTTAAAAACACAATTCTTTGACTTTGTTTTGTGATTCATATGTAACGAAAATATAGTCATGTGGGGTTTTGTTAGATTCATTACGATGTATATTTTCAATACATCAACTTTTTATAATTTTATGGAAATTGGTAATTAAAGATATTAATGGTTGAATCTGTGCATTAACGTGATTAAAGAAACGTGTCAACTAAAAAGAAACGGAGGAATCTAAGTATAAAAGAGCACATATCGAAAAACAAATAATAAAATGTATTCCATACATCTTCATATACATTCAATGTATTTCTTTTATCACAGTAAAGTTCCATTAATTATAAATTGTAGGATTTTTTTGAGAAAAACTACCTTTTATATACAACTTTTTGTGAAAAACTACCTTTTAAAAAAATTGTTGTAAATGACTACCTAGTTTTTAAAAAATGTTTTAAAAGACTACCTATTACCGGAATCTGGTCGTTGACTTTTGTCGCCGGCGTTGACCACCCATGTGTCAGTCACATGACCTTGAAAAACTTTTTTTTTTTCTTTTTTTTCTATGCACCACCATCTACACCACCACCCCACCACCATAACACCTCAACTCACCTCAAAATAAACACCCTGGCCTACACCCTCACGCATCCCAAAACCAACACAACCCCACTTGAAACCACCTCCAGCCTGTCGAATCTAACACATCCAAGCCCACACTACTTCGCAAGACCGCGATCCTCACAACAGCATATTCCCTTTCTCGTAGCAACACACATTCCCACGCCATCACCGCACCACCACCCTCTATCTCTACCTCTTAACGCCACCAACAGTAACACCAATTCACACCATTAAGCTGCAAGTAGCAGCCATACTAACCACCATCCCAACCACGGTACACTAACAACAATCAAATTCAAAAATTAATTATTGTAAATTCCTCTCACAAACTTCAAAATTCCCTAAATTCAAACTACAATTGCACTAGTCTATGGAAGGAAAAGCCATCACACCTGCATCATATTCACAATCGCAATCAGATCAATTCATAAAAACACAATTGCTTTAAACATTCAATTTTCGCATATACCCAACAATTGAAAAGGGGGTTTGCACAAATTAAGCAAGATAAACATGGATTTAAGGAAAACTTACAATAATTGTAAGGAAATTCAACAGATTGGGGCTGAATTGGAGAAGAAATCGAGAAATTAGGGTTCTAGGGTTACAAAAAGGGGCTGAATAGGAGGAATTCGTGAAATTTGGGGGAAAATGGGTGGGAAAAGGGTCATTAAAGGGCACGTGCTACTCACATGACTTAGTCAATGCCGGCGGAAAAAGTCAACGACCAGATTCCGGTAATAGGTAGTCTTTTACAACATTTTTTAAAAAAGAGGTAGTCATTTACAACAATTTGTTTAAAAGGTAGTTTTTCATAAAAAGTTGTATATAAAAGGTAGTTTTTCACAAAAAATCCTAAATTGTATTTTGTTTCATATTATTTGCAACGATTAGACGTTTTCTACTAACACATTATGTCAAATCGTTGCAAATAATATGAAACGTTAGGGTAATTTGTTCTTTCACTCCATATCTTCTTTACCATGCGTGTTCTTTTATGACTGAAGATAATGTTCTTTTATGACTGAAGATAAATTTTTTCTTTCATTTTGAAATATGTGCCTTTTACATACTTTACTTATACATACAAATTCATACGTTCTTCCATCTTGATTTCTAGGTTCTTTGTGGCTTTGCCTCTCACTACTGCTTCTCAAGCTGTTATGAATTTTAGGATTTGGAATTCTTTCTTTTTAAAAAAATAATTATTAGAGATTTTTGCAATAGAATGAGATTGATAGGAGTTAGTGATAATTAATTCATAGGTTTTGGTAAATATATCGTGATTAGGGTTTTTATTTGCGCGGGAGAAAGATATAGAGAATGAAGAGGAGATTAATACAAACTTTAAAAAAAACGGGTGTACAATAATTATTGTACATCCACTATAAAGATAGACTAGATTGATCAAAAGTTACCCCTAAAATAAATAAAAGTTACCCTAATATGTATAAAAGTAATCCAATACAAATAAAAATTATTAGTGAAGAATCACATTTTAAATGACTAAAAATCAATTATTTGTGATTAAATGCAATTAAATTACCATTATAAAACTTTTCTTATTGTCTATTTATATAAAAATTGTATTATGTTAAAAGTTACCCAAAAAAAAGCAAAAAGTTACCCTTAAATTAGGTAAAAGTTACCCTTATACTACTCGATGTACAGTAAAATTAGTGTAAATTGAGTGTATACAAAAGTTTTTGGGAGATTAATGACAGTGAATGTGTGCTAGAATTTTGAGATATGAATATAATTACGTGATCTTTTACATAAATAGTTTTTCTTTTGCTGCACAATAAACCTTAAGCACTTAGATCCGTAGTTTAAGCTTTGTTCGAAATAGGAAATTGATATTAAAATTAAGTTAGAATTTAGAAAACTGCTGGATAGTTTATATACGTACACTTCATGGTGCAACATCTCTAAGCAAAGAGCAAACTAATTAAGCGTCTAATGATACAATAGAAACCAACACATTGATCAATTTGACACTTTTGGTTCATTTTCATCTAGTAGAAACTTTTATATGTGCAAGAATCGATCAGGAGTTCGGGCATGTTCTCTTTAGATTATTTTCAGTTTAGTTTAGTTCAGTCCAGTTCTTAATTTCCTTCTCTCATAAAATATTCAGTTCAATTCAGCTCCGATAAATTCAGAACAACTCAACTCAGCTCAGCTCAGCTAACCAAAATTCATAATCACTAACATCACATAAATTAGAAATAGTTTAATTGTTTGTATTCAAATTCTTATACTACAGTATTCACACTATTAATTAATTGATGAATAGAATGTAGGTTGTAGACAAATGCATAATGAGGTTACTAACCTCAATGTATAAACATGGTTAGTGATAAGAGTGATAACCATTAGGAAAATTTGTTCAAAAGAACCAAGGAAGGTGACTCTTTTGTCCAGAAGGACCAATTAAGCCAAAAGTTGTTGAAAAGGAGCACAAAACACACTTTGAGTTGTTGAGGGGGACCACATTACATTTTCAGGCAAGTCAACGTCGGAGTTCGGCGTTGACCAACACGTGCTAGTCACGTGACTCATTAAGTTGGGTAATTTTTTTTTCTTTCTTTTTTTCCCATTAATCCTCACTAATTCCCCCAAAAAATCACATTTTCACCTAAATTTTCTATTTCTTCTTCCTTCTCTCTCCTCGAAGTGACTGAACCCTAGAATGAAAGCAAACCTACAATTGTGCCTTTTTTTGTTGACAAATTAATCGAGATTACAATTGAGGAAAAGAGGAACAAGGTTAGTACTATGAATTTGGTTGCAATTTGTCGAATTTAGGAGATTTTGCTTGATGTTGTTCGTTTTTGAGTTTCAAACGCTAAAAACATTTTACCTTTTCACCAACAATGGCAGAACACACTAAATGACATGAACATCCATTCGAGGAGAGAGAAAGAAGAAGAATTAGAAAAATTGGGGAAAAGATGAATATTTGGGGGAAATTCGTGAAACTGAGAGGAAAAAAGAAAAAAAAAATTCATCCAACTTAATGACTCACGTGATAAGCACGTGTTGGTCAACGCCGGACTCCGGCATTGACTCACCTGAAAATGTGACATGGTCCCACTGAACAAACCAAAGTGTGTTTTGTGGTCCTTTTAAACAACTTTTGGCTTAATTGGTCATTCTGAACAAAAGAAACACTTTCTTTGGTCCTTTTGAACAAATTTTCCTAACCATTATAACGTTTTAAACAGGTTATTCTTAATAGATTAACGAAATTACTAATAAAGTAAAGTGGTAACACTATCATTTAAGCAAAAACTTAAACAAGCTTAGATAATTATATTTTTTCTATTTTTGTAAGACCAAATAATTGATGTTTTTTTAGCACAAGTGTTTTTGTGACAATAGGAATCCATCTCCATTCTTTTCTAGCTCAAGTGTTTTAGTGACACTATATAAACGAGGCAACCATTCAATCACAACTCACTATACACAAAATAACTTGATAATTAACCAAGTGGACAATCATATTAAGTATGAATTAATGATAAAATAACCAACTTGATTCATTAAATAAATTAAAATACATGCAATCAAACCATTAGGTTATGTATAATAATTATCATATGATAATTAAAAATAACTCTTGAACTAAAAATACAACCCTTTGGGCTTTTATATGTTCCATTATAATGGTCAAAAATCTGGTGGAGGCCAAGCAGATTGTTGACTATGATGAGACAAATAATTAGGCCACCCTCCATAAATGTTATTCTTACTATTATCAAATCCTCCATTATTTACCTGTTCATGTTGCTGATCAACTCTCTGATTCATCTGTAACCCCTTGTTTAGCCCGGTACCTGCAGCGTCGCCTACACAGTAACCCTCATGCTGCTGCAGATGCTGATGATGGTGATTACAGATTCCTCCGAGGCTGCTAGAAGCTGTATTCATCATCACATTCATGGGTGGGATAGTGGAGGTAAGTGGTTTCTCTCTAGGCAAGATATCAACCAAAAAATCGAACAAGTCTGTCGTTGACAGTGCAGCTGATATGTCTGCTTTCTGCAGTGTCTTTCTCTTACCCTCTTCAGTACAGCTCCATGCTCTGAGGGTTAAGTCCTGTATGAACATTTCGCAGGCTCGGGACAACAGCACCGGAGCATCAGCCGAAATCATACGTACATTATCATCAGACTTCATGATTTTCTTTATTCTTGCTAAAGGCAAGCTGTGGTTTCTGAAATCAACAGCTTGACTGCTCTCCTGACACTGACTTTCCCAAAAGCCCTTCAGCTGCTGCTGCAGGAGGTTGCCGGAACCCGATGGTGCTGAATGAACATGAGGTTGTTGTGGTTGCTGGTCAATAAACCGAGGAGTGTTATCGACGAATGAGAGTTGCTGATCAGGATAGTTAAAAGACCAATGGGAATCCATGTTTAATTTAGAAGAGTGTATACTATTTTGAAGGAAAGTTTGATGTAAGAATTTGAAAATTCGGTGTGTTTTGAGAAATAAGATTGGACAGTGGATTATTTATGGAGTTAAAAAGAGCAAAAAAAGTGACAAAATGATGGGGTATGACGGAAGAATACACTAATCTTTTGATGCCATAGAAAAGAAAAGAACAATGGAGTCATGATCATACTAGGGTGAAAATACCTATTGTTGCAGTTTTTAAAAGGGATTAAATGGTTATCATTTGATTTTGCAATCAATAATTTTGCCAACTTTATTGAGTTAATTATACCTTTTAAAATTTGATTGAAATTAATAAATTTGTTGCATTGTCTACAATACATATTTTGTTTGTAGAACCTTTTTGAAATTTTCAATAAGGTTTTTTTTTGTATAATTTACCTCTGTATCAAATTTGCATTAATCAAAGGGTAATGTTATATGTAGTCCTAAGGGCTATATATAAGCATTAAATATACTCTTGAAAATTGTATAAAATTAGAAATTCATGACAAAAAAACACGTGTAAATCAGTGTTATTAGTGTTTATATTTTGATGATTTCTTAACTTTTTACGATTTTCAAGTGTAAATTTATATTAGTGTAAATTTAATGCTTATATATAGTCCTAAGAGTTATGTATAACATTTTCCTTAATTAAATACCATTATTACATTTTTCTCTTCTAATTCTATAACTTTTTAAGTTCTGTACAACCTAGTCGGTCTAAACATCTACTTGCATTATTTTTATATAAAAACAAAAAATGAAATCAAATTGATCAATGCAATTATCATTTTACGTTATAATTTCTAGGACATGCATTATAATATAAGTTTGAATATTTAAAGGTTATGTACCCTAATGTATGCTTTGGTCCGTCCTCGTGAAGTTTCTATTGTTTCAAAAGCATATCGAATTTTTTAGACGTTTAATTAAAAAATTCTTTAACTTTTTTTTATTTTATTGGCCTCCAACGTACCCTGTTAAATAAACTAAAATTTTGCAAGCTAATTTAAGTTTTTATGTTAGTGTACCTTAGTTAATAGTTAGCGGTTATATCTAGGGAAAACACTATATATCTAATGTGAATTTTCCCACAAGTTTATATTGTTGTACTCCCTCCTTCCCATAATATAATTTCTGTCGTTTTATTTTGGAGAATCAAAATGTTGTTCCTTTTTCTTTTTTTGGATAGTATGTAAAGACTATTATACCCTCACTTTTTAAACTTTATTCATCGTACTTTCTAATTTACCCTTGAATTTTGCATATGCTTCGTACTTTTTTCCACTTTCTCTCTCTAACTTTTGTCTGTGATTGTATTTTTTCACATTTATTAATATACTTTATCCACTTTCTTCTCCTATTTTTTAAATATCGTGAAAAAGCACAAACAAGAAGTACATTATAGGACGGAGGAAGTACTACATTGCCACATAAACATTTTACCATGTTTCAGCAATTCAGCTCATTCATAATCAAATAAATCTAGGTGCTTGAATTTAAAAGTAATTAGCTCCATAAATTGTACTTAAATGTTCCTACTTTCATTAGAACTTACATTTTAATGAACTTATATAAAAAGTTTAGTCATTTTAATACTCCTTATAAGATTTTAATCAATTTTTTTTTAAAGATACAATTAAAAGATTGGGTGACCTAAACCTGGGCACGGGCCGGGTTGGCCCGCGTGCCGCCCGGCACGGCCCGCCGTTCGGCGCAGCCCGGCACGGCCCGAATTCAAGCACGACACGGCACGAAGTTCAACTCCCGTGCCATGGACAGGGTTGAGAATTCCCAGGCACGGCCCGGCACGAGCACGGGCATGGCCCGCCGTGCTGGCCCGTCGTGCCGGCCCGCGGGCCTACGGTAATGTTACCGTTTATTCTAACTCCTTAATAAGCAAAAAAAACGGCTAAAAAATGGCTAGTTTTTTGCCAATTTGCTCCCCGAAAATTCTATAAATACTCACCTCCATTTCATTCCCAAATCACAAAATCACAATCTCTTCTTCTTATCTCTTATATTCTCTAAATCTCTAATAATCCTTATTTTCTTAAATTCTCTAATTATTCTCTTAAATTCTCTAATTATTTTCCTAATATCGGAAAAAATTAAAAAGTTTGTAATCGTAATTAGTGGAGCGTTGAAGCACGGTTGTAAGATCAAACTAATCTTAAATTTATTATTGTTTTATTGTTATTATTAGAATAATCTTGTTTAATTATTATTGTTGTTGTTATAATTGTTGTTATTAATTATTATTATTGTTACAATTGTTGTTATTATTTATTTTTGTTGTTATTGTTATTGTTATAGTTGTTGTTATTAATTAATATTATTGATATTTTTATTGTTAAAATTGTTGTTATTAATTATTATTATTATAGTTAACCACTTTTTATTAAAAAATTAATTGTTAATTATGGCATCGAACAACCCATCATCTAGGTCTAGGGGGAAAGGCCGACTTATCCGTAGTAGTAGTTCTAGGGAACCACCAAATACAACGAGCCCCCAAATTACGAGTCAAACCAATGACCCCATTTACTTCCCCCCGGGCTATGAGCCATATAATACGTCAGGATTTCCAGCACCACCACTAAACCAATTTCCACTACCACCATACCAATTTCCACCTAATTATATCGGTGATCAACAAAACTATTGTTCTAGCCAAGGTAGCCAAGAAAGTACCCGAATTCCCTCCGGTTCTACCCCTTCTACTGCCACTCCCACTAGTCCCACTACTAACCATCACACACATCATGAATGGTTAACCGAAACTGAGATGCTACTTTTGAAAAACCGAAGGAGTGAGGTATGGCGTTATTTTGTCCTAAGTAAAGATTGTGAACAATGGGCAAAATGTAAAACATGTAATAGTGTATTCACGGCAGTTACCAAAAACGGGACGGGACACTTATCTAGACACATGAAAGCTTGTGCAAAACCAGCTAGTGATCCAACCCAGCCCAAAATTTCCCAATTCCATCCATACGGCTTTACATACAACTATGAGAGGGATAGGGATGAATTAGGAAAAATGATAGTACACGCTGAACAACCTTTTCTTTTCTCGGAAAGTGACGCATTCAACACCTACATTAACAAAGAACTACAACCCCAACATAAAAGAATCTCTAGGAAAACCGTTCGTTCCGCCGCAATGAAAAATTTCCTAGAGTACAAAGTCCGGTTACAAGCCGAATTGAGTAACCTTAACTGTAGAGTATCTTTAACAGCCGATTCTTGGGATAGTGGTTATAAATATCACTATTTATGTGTGACTTGCCATTGGGTAGATGATCAATGGATGTTACAAAAAAGAATAATACATTTCAAAATGCTGGAATACCCACACACCGGCATTAACATTGCTCACCATTTAATGCAAGCAATAGACGAATACAACCTTCGAGATAAAATGATGTCTATGACTTTTGATAATGCAACCTCTATGACATACACAGCTAATCTTATCAAACAAAACTTAACTGATGTACTATTAGACGGTGAAGCTCTTCGTACTAGATGTGTTTGCCATGTACTTAACTTATGTGTACAGGATGGAGTTCGGGCAATTGGCCCATACTACAGCAAAATCAGAGATGCTATTATGTCTATTAATAGCTCTAACATGAGATACCAAGAATGGAAGAGTTTTCTAAAACAACAAAAGATAAGGGTAATAAAAATTAGAACCGATTGCCCAACTAGGTGGAATTCCACCTATGACATGTTAACAAAGGCAATTGAGTACAAGGGCCCGTTAACATTATTTTACAACCAAAAATTTCCACAAAATGCTTTGTATGATGATGATTGGAATAACTGTGAAAGATATATGCAATTTTTACAGTTATTATATAACATGACGTATTGTTTTTCTACTGTTTACAATCCTTGTGCTCAAAACTTTCTTTCTAATGCATGCTTACTCGCCCAACTTTTCGCTGATCATCGCCATCAAAGTGATTATGATCAGTATCTTCCAGCAATGGAAAAAAAGTGGCGTAAATATTATAGCGAGATTCCTTTGATTTATATTTTTGCTTCCATATTAGATCCTAGGCAAAAGTATGAAAACACATTTATGTTAGTTGACATTTACTTTCAATGCATGTTTCTTGACGATGATGTAGAAAACTATAAGACTAATGTGAAGGATCAGTTTTTTGCTTTATATAGAGTCTATGAAGCCAAATATGGCACCGTTCCTCGCTCAGGGCCTTCCCAACCATCCAAAAACGTAAGTAAGAAGGCCAAACATTTATTTTCACAAGCTACTAACTTGATTTCAAGGTTTTCAGGTGATTCATCAATCAGGAGAACGCAAAGCGACGTCTCGGAGTTGCAGATGTACCTGAGTTACGACTTCACCAAAGGCATGGACGACGATGAGATAAACAGCCTCGACCTCCTTGCATGGTGGAAACAACAAAGCTCGAAGCATCCAACTTTGGCGGCAATGGCACGAGACATTCTTGCTATCCAAGTTTCCTCCGTCGCCTCCGAACGAGCTTTCAGCGCATCCGGAAGGGTTTTCGACGATAGAAGAACAAGTCTAAAACCCGAAACACTAGAAATGTGCGTGTGTTTCAAAGATTGGTTGGATGCGGAAAATCGCTCACAAGACCGTTCTTACGACCACAACGACAACGAAGAAGGAACCTCCGCTTCCGGTTCGGGTTCGGCTAGTTCCCAATCTATGCAACTAGCCGATGACCTTGAAGGCGAAGGCGAAGACGAAGACGAAGACGAAGACGAGCAAGAAGAAGGAGAAGAAGAATAGACAATTATTGTATATTGTACGATTTTAAAAATATCAATTTTATCATTTTTCAATTTTTGTTTAATACCATCATTGTATGATTTTTATCATTGTTATCATTGTACAATTTTCTCAACTCAAGTAATAATAATATAAAGTACGCATTATTCACATCCAAAGTCCAATTTGCCTTTTTTCCCCGTTTTGTTACAATTTGTAAATTCATATTAAAAAAAAATAAAATTATACCAATTACTAATAAATCATAAACATTAAATTTTAAAGTAATAGTATAAAGTAAATATATAAATATAAATATTGAATATACAAATTATAAAACATAAATATTCAACTTATAATTATAAAATTCATAACTTAATAACTTATAACTTATAAGTTATAAACTTATAAGTTATAACCTTATAAAACTTATAATTATAATTTTATAACTTATATACATTATAAACTTATTAA